GTACATATGCAGGTGCATTTCGGTCATGATCTGCTTTGAATGTATATGTCACTTAAATATGAATGGAACGGGGACGTGTCATTGACAATGACTTGTTTTGTCATGTTCTTAGAGAAAGAAAGCGTATTAGATGATAGTACTGAGAAGGAGAAAGAAAAAGAAAATGACAACAAAGAGGAAAAGGAGAAAGACACAATTACAAAGACGTACAAGTCAGAACCAGAGGAGCCTTCCCCACGACCACTACACAAAACATACTCCCTTTTCATGAGGAATCTGGCTCCTCTAATTACTAAAGCAGAGATCAATGCTGTAAGCAATCTTTCAAATGTTTTTTCTTGTATATGAAGACGATGCTTTTGTGTGTATACCAAAGTTTGATGCTATCTGTATGACCTATACAGACTAGACAAAACAGCATTGTTAGAATCCTGAAGGTTTTTGTCAGTATTTTTATAAGCTTAGCGTGCTGTGGTGGAATGACTAAGGTTTAGATTTGATATTTTTGTTAAGACAGTAAAACCTGGATGACAAAGTTCAGTTTACAGAGGTTTTTTTCCAAAGTGATATAACTAATTGAAAATATAATGCTCTGCTAACATACTAGAAATCCTGTACACAAATTTTGTTAATGAATTGTTCCATTTCTGGTAAACTTCAAACAAAGTTCAAAACAGGGACCTATGTTCTGTCCATCTCAAGACATGCGTTGACAGATTTTGTTCAAAGTTAATATAAAGACAAGTCATAATGGACACATGTGTATATTGATTTGTTTTTTCATTGACATTTGACTGACTGGCAGCTATTTTTATCCCAAAAAATCACATGTCATCAATGATTCCTTAGACATACCTTGACCTATTTCATCCAAACTTGGTATTGACATCACTCATAATGGGTTACTGATACATGTCATTTTGTTCTTTTACAAATTTTCTGCCCATTTCATAATATTTTTACATATGGGTCAATTGTCTTCAGTCATTTTTGGATTTCAATAAAATGATGATTTTGAAAAAATGATGGCAAAAAAATCACAAAATTTGAGCATGTGATCAACTATTTTGTAGTCGTGTCTACCAATTTGATTTAAGCTTGTTATTGGCTCAACTGATAATTACAACCATTGTGGCAGACTGATGGCCATTTTATTTTTTACTAGTCTTCTGCCCATATCTGCTTCAACTAATTTTGATATGAACAGCATGCATAATCTTTTGTTTTGTTTATGAATTCCAAATTTGTGTGTGATTGAGAATGATTATAACAGTAACACCATATTTTAAACACTAATTTAATTATTATCTGCCTACATCTTTCACTGTTTTGCAACTATATCATTTTCACTGACTGTTCTTTTTTTTTTAGCTGTGTAAACGTTACCAAGGGTTCTTACGAGTTGCTCTAGCTGATCCCCAACCAGACAGATGTTTTTACCGGCGAGGGTGGATCACGTTTGATCGCAGTGTCAACATCAAAGAAATATGCTGGAATTTAAATAACATCAGAGTATGTATATCTAACTTCTGTAACCTTTGAGCACCAATTAGCCATTCCTAAAATAATGGTTTTCATATTTTATCCAAATATTTATCCCAATTTGGTATTGAAATAATGTCAGTTTGGTCCAAAATTATCAAAGCAATTGTAAAAAACGTATGACAAAAAAATTTCATGTGTTGTACGAAAATTTGTGAAGAAAAAAAATATCAATTTTATTTGAAATAAGTCGGTTAATAATTGAAAAATTGTGTGAACTCTTGAGGAGGTTCGATCCAAATTGATGATTATATGTTTAAAAAAAATGTCCAGTAATGCAATAGTGCTGACAAAACTGATATAAAGTATTTCAGGTGATTGAACCCTGAGTGTAAATTAGAATATTCACCCTTTTCCTGTGCCCACACAGTTACAATACTTGTCTGCAGG